GTGGGAGAAGATAAGATGGAATCTAGATTTGATATGGCTCTGAATGCCGTGAGAAGAAATTTAAACCTGACCCTATGGGCATTGGGGAACCAGCTTATGATTTTAAGCAAGAAAGTGACAGAAGGCACTAAAAGTGCCTTTAAGCTGAAAATGTCAGTTGTGTAACACAAATATCAACAAAACATTTTCCCCCAATTGCCTTCCTCCCTGATCCTCCATTATATGACAGGCCCTATATGTAATCCACTAGCTGGGATAATATTTCAAATCCCCTTACTGTGTTCCTTTCCTACCTGAAATTCTGGCTGATTTTAGGTTCGTGGCCATAGGGAAGTTTGATTTATTCCAGATGGACCATTCTCTGGGCTGACAGGTCACAGTGAAGCTGCAAACTGTTTTGGAGAGAACCCGGGGCTTGGAGTTTAACTGCACGTGGGTTCAAGTCTCAATGTAAGGAGCCTTATTTCCTCACTATTCTGCTGCTTTAACTTTTTCTCTTGAACTTTTTTTTTCTATCTGCAAAATAAAACCAATGGCTGGACCAGAGTGGCTTATCCATACGCAAATATCACTTTTGAGTTTTACCAATTATGTTTATTTCCTTTATTGAACTCCTATTTATAGCATCTATTTTGCTTGATTTACTTGCTACTTCAAATTTGCTTTGTTGACTCTTTCTTTCTATGTACTTATTAAGGAAGCACTTTATAACCTAAACAGTGAACCAGATAGCTGCTCCAGGAAATGTTTAGAATGAGGCAGCTGAATTTAGCTGGATTGTTCTATGTCAGTGGGTTATAGGAAGGAGTTTGTAAGGTCCCTCTGGGAAAACTGAAAACTTTTCCAGCTTCTCCTTTGCAAGCCCTCATCCTGTAGTGTCATTATTTTGTTTTCATGAATTCCTAGAACAATAGGTACACCCATCTGAAAATATGACTACAGGACATATTCCAAAGTCAGATATAAATTATTTTTGGACTCCTCCTACTTTTTCTTCCTATGATTTGTGTGGCTAATGTAAAGTTGCTGGCACTGTGTATTTTACATCATTTCCTGAATGAAATGCGATCAGTGAAGAGAGAGGAAAAGGATTCTGTATTATTTTGCAAATTTTCTTGCCTTCTTTTTCCTCCAGGGCTAGTCACAGTATGGGATCCATGGGCATTTAATAAATATAAACAGAATGAAAACCTCTGGAGTTGTGCTACTCTTTTAGCCTCAGTTCTTCGCATCAGCTAAAATGATGTTTGTTTTTAGGTACGATTTCTAGAAACCTGGAATACCTACTCTTGAGATAGAGTACTTTTTGTAAGTTTGTTGAATGTGGTAAATCCAGAATTAGACAAATATTAACTACAAATATTTACTCTGATGCCAGCTGCATTTTAAAAGGAAAGTTAGATGTGGAGGGTGAAGACAGGGAACATGTCTTGTTTAGATTTTATGGTTTGCGTTTAAGTTGATATTATTTCTGCTATATTTTTCATTTTCATCCTGTTGAGTTTGAGGTAGCAATACAAGTGTCAAGTGGAGTTCTTGGGAATTCAGGACTAGAGCCTGAGGTAGAGATGAGAGTTAGGGATAGTAGGTTTCTTTAAAGGATCAAATAAAATAAATCAGACGACGGTGGAGAAGGATCTGTGATCTCAGATCCAGAGCTGAGGGGCTCTTTTTTTTCCTTAGATAAAAAATAAAAACACTTCTTCCTGTATGGCACGAGGGAAGACAGAAAAATTTAGAATTTCCTCTGTGTTTGTTAGTAATAGGACAAAACTGATAAGGATCCTGTAGTAGATCAGTTTCCCTAGAAGCGACAACTGAGACAGGGCATTCTGGGTAAACATGTTTGTTGCGGAAGTGCTCAAAAAAGGGGAGTGAAGGAAGGAGTAGAGCAGGGGAAAGTGTCCAGCAAGGACGAAGGATTTACAAGCAGCAACCAAGGAGCTCTGCTCAGGCCACAGAGGATGGATTCTCAGGCTCCTGGGACCCACTCGATCCACATAGCAAGGTTAGAGTTTTTGTAGCTGAGCAAATGGTTTCTGATCCATACTTTTGTACATTATTCATTATTAATTAGTACCTTTGGTTAAATGACCCTACCTTCCCTACCTGACCATATATCACCACATACATAAGCATGGTAGTGTTCCTGAGGAACTTCTTGTTCATGTCTGTACACAGTTCAGGCTTTTTGTGCATATTAAGGGAGGCTGCTGGGGATGCATTTCTTTTCTTTATATATGTCCTTATCCATAAGTGAATGACAGATTTTCCTTGGGATATCTGTTCTCTTGGTTTCAACATCACCTTGATGTGGATAACTCTCAAATCTTTGTCACTCAATCTTCATCTCATCTGGCCTCCGCAGTACCATCTTTGTATCTGTCCTTCTGTCCCACAATGATTTGTACATAGTAGGTGGTTCATAAATGTCACTCACACATCAGTCAAACTACAAGTGAGTTATTAAGGAAGTTGAACACATGATTTAGAGCTTGACTTTTTACAAACTATTAACTGGGTAAGTACTTAGGCTCTCTGAGCTTCATGAGTTTCCTCATCTGCACTAGGAGTGATAATGCCTCAGCATGGATCATTGGAAAAGTTAAGTAAAAGAGTTTAGCTTAAGCACATAGCCCTGTGCCTAAAAATTGATCAGTACCTGGTAAATGTTGGTTATTTATCCTTTATGCCCAATGCTTAAAATATTTATCTGTTGCTCCAGTTTTCTGGCCCTATTGCTTAATTTATCTTATCTGATTTTTCCACATTCATCACATATAATTCTGATAACCTAAATAAAGTAAGAAGTTTCTCAAAAGGATTGGAATACTTCAACAGGATTATTATTTATCAAACCCAAAATAACTATGTTGACTATGATTTTGGATCAAGATTTTCATTTTAAAAAATGGAGGGGGCAAGGCTAGGTGAAGTAAAGTTGACTATAATGTTGTTTTTTTAATAAAATTAATATGCTAAGATTTTTTTGAGTAGAATTTATAATCTGAAGATTAACACTTGGGATGTAGGAAATGTTTCATCTTTAATATTAAATTATTGAGCAGAGAAAAACATTAAACAGCATGACATGCCTCTTTTTCCCAGTATTTCTGAGCATCTGCATTGTGTTATGAGCTCTGGGAGAATCAGAGCCATAAGTTAATGTTTCTCTACTCCTAAATGGCCAGCACATTTCTTAGTACTGATGTCTAGGTTTTATTTCAGTTGATTATTTTATGTTTTAAAGATTTTATTTATTCATGAGAGACACAGAGAAAGAGAGAGGCAGAGGGAGAAGCAGGCTCCATGCAGGGAGCCTGATGTGGGACTTGATCCCGGGACTGCAGGATCATACCCCGAGCTGAAGGCAGACACTCAACTGCTGAGCCACCCAGGCGCCTCTTAGTTGATTACTTTTGAACTCCCATGAGTTTTGTACACATGCCCTCATTTGGTTTGCTCATTTGCATGATTCTCAAAAAACTGCTGTTAACTACATGGTAAGGTAGAGGCACATTCCATCTGAAGGGAAACTAAACGTACTAAGTAGTTTGCATATCTGTATTGTCCAAGTAAGAACATGAAAGAAGACCTAAGAATAAGCAGTAACCCTGAATAGATATTTTTCCAAAGAAGACATACAGATGGCCAACAGACATGAAAAGATGCTCAATATCACTAATCATCAGGGAAATGCGAAGCAAAACCACAATGAGGTACCACCTCACCCCCACTCAGAATGGTTAGTATCAAAAAGAGAAGAAATAACAAGTGTGGGTGAGGATGTGGAGAGAAGATTACTCTTGTGTACTGTTGGTGGGAATGTAAATTGGTGCAACCACTGTGGAAAACAGTGTGGGGGTTCTTTAGTTAAACATAGGAATAACATGTGATCCAGTAACTCCATGACTGGGTATCTACTTCAAGAAAATTTGAAAACACTAATTTGAAAAACATATGTACCCCTATGTTTATTACAGTATTATTTACAATAGCTAAGATATAGAAGCAACCCAAGTGTCCATTGGTAGATGAATGGATAAAGAAGATGTGGTATATATACACAGTGGAATGTTACTCAGACCTAGAGGGTATTCTAAGTGAAATAAGTCTGACAGAGAAAGACAAATACCATATTATTTGTCTTATATGTGGAATATAAAAAAACAAATATGAACAAAGAAACAGACTCAAATTATGAGAATAGGTGGTTGCCAGAGGGGAGGTGGGTGAGGAATGAGTGAAATAGATGAAGGGGACGAAGAGGCAGGAACTTCCATTTATAAAGTAAATAAGTCACAGAGATAGAAAGTACCGCATAGGTAATATAGTCAATAATATTGTAATAACATTTTATGGTGACAGATGGTGACTACACTTATCGTGGTGATCACTGAGTAATGTATAGAATTTTTGAATCACTGTGTCGTGCACCTGAAAGTAATATAATGTATGTCAACTATACTTCAATAATAGAAAATAGAATCAGTAGTAACCCAAAAGGTGAAAACCACCAAAATGTCCATCAACTGATACATGAATAAACAAAATGTGGTCTATCTATACAATGGGTATTTTTCAGTCTGAAAATGGAATGAAGTACTGGTACATGCCAGAACATGGATGAGCCTTGAAAACATTATGAGATATGAAAGAAGCCAGACACCAAAGGCCACATATTGTATGATTATATTTATATGCAATGTCTGGAATTGGCAAATCCTGGAGACAGAGAATAGCAGTTATAAGGGGCTGGGGATAGTGGGGAGTTTTGTTTATGGGTCTGGAGTTTCTGTTTTGGAATGATGACAAATTTCTGGAAATGGAGAGTGATGATAAGTACAAAACATTGTAAATGAACTTAATGCTACTGAATTGTCTAGTTTAGAATGGTTGAAATGGTAAATTTTATGTGTATTTACCACAATAAAAAAAAAGATAGTGGTAAGGAGCTTGAAGGTCACTGTGATAAGCCTCCTGTTTTTCTTTCTGCACAGGAGCCATGGATAAAAGAGGCTTTCAGCAGGGGAGTCTCAATAGCTTCCGGAGCAGCTCCAGTGATGAAGACTTGATGGACATACCAGGGACAGCTATGGATTTTTCCATGAGAGATGATGTTCCTCCCTTAGATGGAGAAATACAAGGTAGCATTACTGTTGATGACAGTTTGTCTTTCTAAAAATTATTTTTTAATGTATACACAGTAAAATTCATTTATTTTCTGGTGCAATCTTAGGAGTCCTAACACATGCAGAAACTTTTGTAACCACCTCCACTGACAGGATCCAGAACAGTTCAACAACCCAAAGAGTTCCCTCTTGCTATATCTCTTTGCAGCCATATCTCCTCCACCCCAGCCCCTGGTAACCACTGATCTATTCTCTGTCCTTGTATTTTTTTCTTTTCCGGGATGTCATATGCATGGAATCACATAGTATGTCACCTTTGAGACTGACTTCATTCACTCAGCCTAATGCCTTAGAGATGAATTCAGATCATTCATTCCTTTTTCCTTGCTATATATAGCCTGAAATGGGATCACTGGGTCGTGTGGTAAATGTATGTGGAACTTCATAAGAAACTGCCAAACCATTTTCCAGAGTGGCTATACCATTTTACATCTGAACTAGCTATGAATGGAAGTTCTGCTTGTTCCCTATCCTTAACAGCTCTGGGTATTTTCGGTAATTTTTATTTTAGGCATTCTAATAGGCGTGTAGTGTTATCTCATCGTGGTTTTAATTTAATTTCCTTAATACCTTATGATGTTGAACATCATTCCATGTGCTTATTTGCCAACCTTATTTCCTTTCCAATGAAGTGTTTGTTCAAATCCTCTCCCTTTTTGATAATTGGGTTTTTATTATCTGGAATACATTTATAAAAGAATTTCCTCTATCATTCGGTTTTCCAGTAACATCATTCTTTTCAATAACTGCATATAATTTCATGGTATAGCTATACCATAGTTTGTTTAACTAAGTTTCCTGATGTACATTTCAGTTTCCAGTCTTTTGCTATTATAAACAATGCTGCAATGATCAACCTTGTGTGTGCGTGTGTATCTTTTAAGTGTATTAGAACATTTCTGTAGCATGAGTATATGAGTGCTTATTTTCTCACAGCCTTTCTTGTGCTGAATATTAGAATTTTTTCATCTTTACCCTATGGTAGGGAAAATAAATAAATAAATACTCATCATTGTTTTAATTTTAACTTTTTTAGTTTAATGAGGTTGAGCATGTTTACTAACCATTTAAATTTCTTTTTTTGGAAGTTTCCTGTTTCTGTGAAGTTCCTGTTTTTCTCTTGGGCTGATTATCTTTTCTTATCTTTTTTTTATCTTTTCTTATCTTTTTCTAGTGGCTTTTCATTTATTGCTACTAATGTTTTGTCTAATGTAGGTGGAGTGTATTTTTGCCATTTCTCTGTTGTTCTTGTTTACTTTAAAAAATCTACAAATATTATAAATTTATACATAGCCAGATATGTCACCCATTTCTTTTCTGACTTCTGAGTTTCTTATAATTAGAAAGGACTTTGATATTAAATTTGTACTGTCTGGTTTTTAACTGATTGGGATTGCCATTCTCAACATAGAGTCAGAGAACAAAAAACTATGTCAGAATTTATTATTTATCAAATTTGTATTGGGGGTTTATGATATTGTAGAAATTTGGCTAGGTTCTGGGATTTAGCAAGGTTTTAAGGTACCCTCCCTGCCTTCATGAAGTTGATTCTGGCTGGCTAAACAAACATTAAGTACTTATGATAATACCTAATTCTTAGAGTCATTTTCAGGACTAAATGAAATAGTAACATAAAGTGGTTATAATTTTACCCAGCATCAAGTTACTGCTCAATAAAATGTTAGGCTCTCATTGTTATTATTATTATTTTATTTCTGTTATAACCCTATATTATGAGTGTTATAACTCTTATAAGAACTTAGCAAAGGAAGCATTATATTTGTCTCTGTGTGTCTGAACGACAAGTTATTTAGTAGGAAGAAGAGCATTCCAGACAGAAAGTGAGCTTTTACAGAGATATCAATAGGCCTAATATACAGAGATATAAAAAGGCAGAATACAAGCCCAAATAAATAAATTGGGGCCTTAAATGTCATGCTAACAAGTTTGAATTAACCTTGTCTGTGAGGACAAGCTCCTTCACCCATTCATTCAACAAATACTTTTTGAATACCTGATATGAAGCAAGCATTGTTGTAGAACTGATACAGTGGTGGGATTAACATAGGTATGATCCAAGTTGATCTGGAATTTAGATCTAGCTGGGTAAATGAGTAAACAAACAGACTAGTTAGTTATTTACCCATCATGATAACTACCAAGATGGAAATAGAGTGAATGACAATACAGGATAACTGAGGAAAAATACTTTTGAAAGGTTAGAAAGTTAGAAAGGTCAGGGAAGGCCTCTCTGTGGAGGTGACCAACTTGGGAAGAACATAGCCAGTATGAAAACCACAGGTTCAGAAGAAATTGTCTAGTTGAGGCGCCCAAAGGTAGTAACAGTAGAAGAGACCCTCTGAATTTAAAGTTCATAAAAGAAAGGTACTCGTGGTTTGGTATTTAGTGATTTTTCACATTTGCCTCCTTCTATGAAAGGGCCATGTGTTTGTGTATCACTTCCACTTATGCGTAGTCAGAACCCTTGGGAATGGGTTAGAACAATTACTGGCTCTGGTGGAGTAGCCAGATAGGCTATCCATAAACTTAAACTGACCACCGCTCATAAGCCTTCTGGCTAATCCAGAGAGTTTAGCTTAGTTATCATTACTGCTTCTAACCGAAAATGATGTCATACAGTGTCCATATCACCAAAGTACTTTTTGTGTTCACATTGTTCTCAATAGGCAATGGAGGCAACCAAGTATGAGTATCTCTTATTCCTATTTAATACACCCAAAAGCTAAGGCAGACGAGATGTAGACATTGCTTGTGATTGTAGAATGTGTTCTTACATTAATAGGCCTTTGCCACTTTTCACTTGCCTTTATAGGACTGCATGTGAATGACGAGGTTTGACCATAAAACAACAAAGCTGTTTTCTATGCATTGCACACAGAATTCAGTCCATTTACAATGCTCTGTAGTGATATAATTTTCTTGCTTTGCTTTTTAATTGTTTGTACTTTATTTAATGTTTTCACACAGGATTTCCGAAATGTACACAACAACAGAAAAAAAGGTCATAAAGTCCTTGATATCGGTGGTGCAGCTGTGCATAAAACACTACATTTTGTACGGCTGTGCATAAAACACTACATTTTGTACCAGGCACAATAGCACGTACTAAAAAGATTAGTTAAAAGGAGCTTGAAAGGTAGTAGAAGTGGTTCTTGTTTTCCAGATGGCTAGAGGGATTGATTTATGAGGAATGAATAAATAAATTATGCATGGCATGGTTAAATGCATCTGTGGTAGTGTTATAGTAGTGTGTAAATGAGAAGAAACATAAACATTGAGGTCTCAAAGAAGGGAAGGGGGAGGGAAGCAGAAAAAAGAGTTTGTGTAATAGGAAAAATTCAGAGCTGTTCTTATGGCCCATCTGTTCTTACTTGCCTGCCTCTGCAGCCTGGACATCATGGTTTGGCAATTCATTCATTCACCCGTTTAGTTATTCGGTATTTATGGAGCACCCAGATTAGAAACATGGCATTGTGCTGTTTTAATAATACTCATCAGCACCCTTGTTTCCCTCACCTCCTTGTCTTTCTACCTCAAGTGCCTTGCTACTCCTGATTCTTGAGTGAAGAAACTTTCCTGGCAGGAGAGAGCAACACAGGTAAAGACACAGGAGCATGAGAGTGCCTTTTCTACTCAGGCAGCACAGTCTGTGCATCTGAGGTCTGGGGCTCCTGGGGGCAGAGATGGTGACAGTGGGAGTAGGAGGAAGGATAGCCTGGGGTAGGGTAGGAGATCGAGTTAGAAGTCTGGGTGAGAGCTAGGCTGTCTATGCTTTCAGGACCTTATCTTGTAACCAAGGAGTTATAAAATGATTTAAAAGCAGAGGAATGATATGATCAGATTGGTCTTTTCAGGAATTTATGGCTGTATGGAGGATGGAGTCAGGGGAAGAGTGGGTTAAAGACTAGCAGACTGGTTAAACTGTTATTTAAAAATAGTTTAGTTAAAAGATCAAAAGGCCTGAATTAAGGCAACAGGAATGGAGAGGAAGGGATAATCACTTCTGGAGAAATTTCAAAAGGGGGGATTGATAGGACTAATTAGATATGGGGAATAAACTAGAAGAGTCACAGATGACTTCAAAGCCCAGGCAGAGTAGGAGAGCAGGCCGAGTCTCCCTCGTGCGGGAGAACGTGCCCAGACCACCCTCGCAAGCCTCAACAAACCTCCCAATGTCCCAGGGAAGAAAGAATGTCTTTGAAAATGGAACACATGACAGTGTGTGAAATCCACCAAGTAAGCTGTGAAACAGTTGTGTTTGTTCTGCCATGCTGCAAGGAAAGCTTCTAGTATTCCTCCAGAGAGAAATGGAAAACATCTTGGGCTCCAGCTCATGGGTTCCTGTTAGCGCTTCAGTTGACTCAAGCAATTGTGTGGATGGCACAGGGAGGATAAGGAAAGGGAATTCAGAGCCCATCACCCTCATCATACTCAAACTTCCTTAAATACTTAGCCTGGGAGGATGGCAATTGTTACTGCTGCTTTTTGAGCTTGAAAAAAAAAATAGTGTCCTGTATCAAAAGCTCTTTGGGGCCATAAACCATACCAGTTTTATATGCTGAACCCTCAAAATGAGGCTTATTATGATGTCCACAGGCTTTAAAGGCTTCCTTTAGGTTACTTGATAGGAAAACACCTGGTCAGATTTTAGAATCCGTGCTTTCTTATCTCTTCCCATCTATTTATATTTTTATCTTATTTAAAGTACATGCCTTATTCATATGTAATTAGTTTTTACCTATCCAGGATACCACATGACATTTAGTCTCCGTGTCACCCCGGAACTCCTCTTTGCCATGATGGTTTCTCAGACTGACTTTGTTTTTGATGACCTTGGCAGGTTTTTGTTTCAGTAGTTTTTAAACTTCATTACATACCTGTGTTCTTTTCTCCCCTGGTTTCATTTAGAAATAATTGATATACATCATTGTATA